ATATGACAGCATTTGAACCTTTTACTTACAATATCACTGGGGTCACAGTGGTCTATCTGCCGGTGAGATGTATTTACGTCTCCTAAAACAATCACGTGACTGAAAAATATAACAGAAAAAAAACAAGAGGAGAGGGAATTACAAAATAAGTTGCGAACACTCTCATGATACATTATCCAAACTAAGACTGATATCATAATTCAGCAAGTCAGTCATCTGCCATACATCATGTTAGATAGATAGATAGATAGATAGACTAGAGTCAGAGCGTAGACAGCCGTAGATAGAATAGATAGAGTAGTATATTCTGTCTAGTGCTTATGCCGAGGGAATTCAAGCAGTCCAGTAGCATACAAAACAAACAATACATTAAACTAAAATTAAAACCCGACCTTACAGAACAGAATCAAAATAAGATATAAAATAAATATAAAGTATGTATGTATTATGTGATAATAATTAAAATTATAACAGTATAAAATAAACATTAAGACAGTAGCTACAGTACACATTATCAGATTATGTTATCTGTCTATCGAATGTAAGAATTAAGTATATAAGGTTTCTTTTACCACATTATAAACTGCTTTAGGTTTCAGTGAAACATAATGACTAATGACATAAAACAGACAGGAAGGTATATTAAAGAACAGTTTCATAGTTAACATGTCTGTGGCAAAAGCAGGATACACCTGTAACCACAATCTCTCTCCTTTTTTTTTTTCAGTATGTGGAAACTTTTCTGAACTCTCACCTCCCGTCTTTCAGTATAGCTTCAGCCCGACGCTGAAGAAGCTTGTAGAACTGCAGTTTGAACTGCTTTCGCTCCGGCTTTTCGGGGTCAGCCCGTGGACAGTATACGTTGATTACAGTAACACTTTGCTCTTTGTCCTGACACCTGTTGGGGGTTAAAAAGAAAAAGTCAAAATAATAGGCACAGACATCTACAATTTACAAGTATTTTACAAAATAAATGTCTCATGTAGTCTTTATCAACAGTAACGTTTTATCAGTGACTCAAAGGGTTCATAGAAGGCTCTAAATTGATCAAACATCTATCTTACAGTGGGAGTACAGGCACACAGATGCATAGCCAACACAGCACATATAACATGCTTTGTCAAAGAAAACTTCAATGTGGAATACTTTTCTCTTACATGATTGTGTGCTGCGTGATAACCGCTCGTCCCTCATTGTCCAAAAGCTGCAGCTCCTCAGTAGAGAACTCACTCTGGTCACCGTAGCATCCCACAGCCCCCTCTTCGAGGTTGGTCAGCAGACCCGAGAGACCCTCCTCCGCAGCAAATGGAGTGGCACTGTCTTTGCAGTAAGTGGCAACCCCTGTGCATGTCAGGAAAGGGAAGGGGGAATTAGTTTGTATAGTGTGTTGCCAGCTGCAACCACAGAGCAGCTGTAGCAATGTGGAGTGGCATTAAGTGCTCATTTAGTGAAGTTAATTATGGCTTTACTTTGACTTTACAACACTGTGTCTTGTTGTGCTGGTTAATCTGAATACAACTGGAAAGGGATGCATAGAGAAAAATCAGTGCTGCCATTAATCACAGATAGAAAATGAATTGTTATGACAAGGTAATGAACCTGAATAGCCGCTGCGTCCTCGACTGAAGCTGAAGTAGGAGGTGTAGCCGTCAACAATGGCAGTTCTTTCATCAAGTAAATCTCCTGTTGGGGAACACATTTTGGGGTTTTTAACTCACATTTCTGTCATAGCAGCAGACTTCATGACAGCACACGCTCTTTCCAAGCTCATAAGCTGACCACTTACTTGTCACTTTTGTCTCTTGAACACAGATAATATCTGCGTCAAGCGAATCGAGAGCCTTTTTAATGCCGCCTCTGAACGCCCTAATGCCATTTATGTTCCAGGTAACGATCTTCATTGTGTAACACTAACAGTTGTTTTCACCGGAGACACCAACGCTGCAGAGAGAGAGAGAGACAGCACCCCCGGAAGTAAAAAGGAAGACAAAAAAAGGTACGAGCGGAAGTGTGTATTTCACCACGAATTCGTCATTATTTCTTTCATTTTTTTTTTAATGCTTTTTGACACAATAAAATAGTTTTTTTTGTTGCATTAATGTTTAATTCTTACGCCCGGACAGACAGCAATGCCATACCCAACTCAAACACAGGGAATGAAGGACAGTGTCTGGGTGTAATTGCATTGCGCCGTTGTCTAGCTAGAGGGGGTAATCGTGCTTTCACGTTTTTTCGGCGCGCTTTTGACCCGACCTCTCTGTGAAACGGGAGAACCGGGGTGGGAGGAAGGCGAGGCGGCTGCATCGGTAACCTAGGCTGGTATCCCCGGGCTACTATCGCGCTTAGCAACCGTCGCCGCGGACAGTTTCCACCGGTTCCGGGCCGTTAACGTTCGCTTCCAACCGTCCTCGACTTTTAAACAACCAACGGGTGAGTAGCAAGTTTGGTGGCTAACGGTCGCTATCTAAAGCGTTAGCCAATTAGCTTGTCTGACAGCGTCCGACCGACGCTACCAAGAGGAGAAACTGCCAAGTGAGTCGGGGTAAATCGATGTCGACCACCCCGCTCAGCTTTTAACAGCTAAATTCTCTATCATACTTTGTTATAGTTCGCGGCGCTGCGGTGTCATTTGCTGTTTTACATTAACGTTAGGCTAGAACTGCTCTTGCTACGTTAGCTGTCCCGGCCGTGTCCTGTTCCCAGTCCGGTGTCGTGTTTTTTGGTAACGTATCCATGTCAGAATACTTTCCATCCTTTTAGGATACCAGCTTTTTATAAAAAAATATATATACAGGTTGCCTAAAATATATACAGGTAATTCCTCCTTTTAATTTACACGCAGTTGAGAACTAATGAGAAACGAAAGCGTACGGGATGTGCATCATTTGGCACCGGACAACCGGCGGATGGTGTTTCCATCTTCGGTCAAAGAAGAGGACGTGAGGACACGGGGGGGGGGACTCCGCCCCACCCAGTCAATACGGGTGGTCAAAGCAACCATAGTCGATATTGTTTCCACGGCTTCTTGGCGGAGGACTGCTCATCAACCAGCTGTCATTACTGTAGCGACCATTTGCTGTCGGGGTTTTTCTGAGGAGATGTAACGTGGCTGATGTTGATAGCAGTGTATAGGCCGACCTCTCATCCTGGTTTAATAGTGACAGCGTGCTAATAACTGCGTGGAGTAACATCAGTAACCAGTCTTTAAATACCACGGGGTAATAAAATGCCCTTTTTTTAAGCAGATGAAGGCCCACAGTGTTTGTTATAGCTGGTATTATAAACAGGGTTGATATATTTGCAAAAGTGCAGCAGTTTGGTCATTTATGGCTTGGATTAGTCTTTTGGGTTGAAGGTAGAAATATTCAACTAATCCTGATTAATCTTGCCCTGTGCAGTTTGCTCAGTTGGTGTCACAATGTGCTTTATACAAAACCTCTTTGCCATCCTGGCTGTTTTTAAGTAGTTTACGTAACCGCCGTCTTTGTGTTTTCCCTCTTGCAGTGTGGAGTAATGAGAGAGGACGAGTGAAGGAGGTCCCGGGAGAACAGGGAAGGATGCTGGAGGCGGATGCAGACACGGCAGGTCAAGCAGTGGAAGGAGAAGGGGAGGCAGAGATGGGGAGCAGAGACCTGAACGCTGAGGTGGTGAGGCTTACTCTAGAGCTCCAGGAGGCCACGGAGGAGAAGCTACAGGCGGCCCGCTATGGCCTGGTGGTGCTGGAGGAAAGTTCTGCCCTCAAGCAGAAACACAGGCAGCTGGAAGAAGAGCACGAAGCCCTCAAAGCAGAACTACAGCAGCTCAAAGAGGTAAGACCGCCCAAGGCCTTCTGGACCAGTTATATTCAGACTTAGGCTTGTTTTTTT